GACCAAAAAGTCCATCATCCCATTTTTTCCACATCTTCTTTACTAGACCACAAAACTTGTTTTATTTGCACATAGGCTTAGGTTGTTTTTCAAAGCTGCCCATTGCATTTTTTTCCTCCCCCACTCGTAAAATATTTCATCAAGCCTTTTTCGTCCTCGCACTCATCTTCTATCTCCATTTACTGCATCAATGATGAAGTACGGTTGCTTTTGCGGTTTCCAACACCTTCTTCCTCATTCTCCATCCAGTTTCTTCTGGTTTACGTTGTTACGCTAGATCAATCAGCTTTTTTCTAATCACATCCTTCTCTGCCACCTTTTTACCGAATGTTCACACCAACGTCACAAAGTGACCTTCGCAGTTTCTGCTAATCACTTGCTTATCTTTTTCGTCCACACAGTGCTTCGTGTACTCTGCTTCTCAACTCGACAGATATATGACAGAAAAAATGGCAACAGTTTTATGGCACAACCTGTAGCTGAGTGATTACTGATAACGGAATTGTTGCGAAAATAATCAGCTGATGACCAAATTATCAGCTAGAACTACTTTTTCGTGCTGTTTGCCAACTTTTCCCGCCTTTTCCAGCAACGATTCGTCATTGTGCTCAATTTCCTCAAATAGTTTTGATACTAGTCAAATGTTTGATTTTGAGGAAAATGGTTGGTTTTGGTAGTGAGATGAGCTGATTTCATTGAACATGACCCATTGAAATCTAACATTAAATTTCTTGACTATCAGACTTTTTTACCTCCAAAACTGTCATTTTCCCAGTTTTAAGTATTTGAACTTGCAGAAAGATGAAAATAAATAGTTTCATTTGTTGAAATCAGCTCCATATTTGTTTTTGACAAAAATGTTTTCAATTTAATTTCAAAATAGACACTGATGTTTTATTGGACTTTACTAACGATGTTGTTTCACTTCAGACCTTTTTTTCTAGGTTAATTATCGGAAGATTCGCGAGTTTTCTGTTAATAATTTTCATAATTTTGTTTTTAGGCTCCGCCCACTTTCACAATTTTCGCACACAAGCCATCCTTTTTCTGCTTTATTTCGAAAGAAACTCTCTATTTACACCGAGCCAATTCCCATTCCGTTACCTAGATATGAGGGCGTTTCTATTAGAAACGAGCCTCCCTGGGGCTCTCTGGTCGCCCCAAAACTTTATTTTTTACGTTTTGTGCATTTATGTAGACTGAACTTGGAAGGCCTATTTTTTGTTGCAGATTTAGCACTTTTTTTTCAATTATTGTATCACGACTCTTAACAAAAACATACGGTATTTTCTCTTTTAGAAGCCCACCCGAACGTCAAATCTAAGCTCAATTATCTCAATTTCTGTGAAAGATGTGAAAAATATGTTAACTGATAAATTGTTTATCATAATATCAATAATATTCTATTAGTTAACACATTTCTGATATCTTTTACAGTAATCATAATAATTGAGCTGGACGTGAAGAGATAGGGAAAATTTTAATAGAATGCCTCCCAAACTGCAACTCTGTGATCATTTATCTCGGTTCCTGTCAAAGTTATATAAAAGTTGTTCACTGACAAATTGATCATCATAATATCGTCAAAATTTCATTAGTTGACACATTCTTGACACCTTCAACAGGAATCGCGATAATTGAGCTCCAATTTGAGGGATCGAGTAGATATGGTAATCAATTATTCTTGAAAAATCTCTTATATTGATTTATAGGTTCCATCCTTCCGTGCAGTTAGACTGGTATTATTTAATTTTTCTATAAGTTTTTTTAAAATCAAAACTAGTTTCGTTAGAAACCAACTTCCCACAAACATGCAGCTCTCAAAAATTGTTCTCATCTAGAAAAAAAGAAAGAAAAACATATTTTTTAATTGAAAAAAAATAATCTGAAATCCCTTTTAGTGATATTGAGCCATAAAGTACAAAAGTAGAATTTTTTTGAATTTGAAAAGAAAATGAATTTTGTATTAGGTTGGCAGGAAAGTAACTGTCCCTTGTTTTATTTGTGAATAATACAAAAGCAGGATTAATCCAAGATTAGCAGTATGCACCGTCGTGGTCCACGACATGTTGGCAATGTTCAGATAACTTGTGGATACAATACCTTCAAAAGCCAGCTAGCCACGAATCAAAGTATTCATTTTTTCCTGTTTTTCACATAAATGGTGCAAATTTTCGTATTCTCTAGATGAGGTTGTATCTCTCCGAATATCCAATAATCTGATAGAGCTCAGTCGGAACTATAAGTAGGTAAGGGAGAACGGTCGCGCTGAAGCTGCTCAGGTCTGACTTGACTGCAGGTAAAAAATGAAAAAAACCTCATGCTCACGGAAAGTCACGCCGTACCTGAGCCGCTTTGGCTGGACGGTTTTCCTTTACCCCCGTTGAAGACATGATTGCAGCTCTATCAGATCATTGGTTATTCAAAAGTATACGACGTCATCTGGAGCTTAAGGACTTTAACACAATTGATGCCTGAAAAAATGGACTGGAGGGATACTTTGACTTGCCACTAGCTGGCTTTTGGAGGGATGGTACCCACGAGTTACCTGAACATTGCCAACATGTTGTGGATCACGACGGTGCATATTGCTAATTCTGGATTATTCTTGTGTTTGTGTTATTTACTAATAAAAAAAATGGACAGTCACTTTCCTGCCAACCTAATAGCTACACAGAAATCACTTTTAATTTTCTTGTGTACTCTATTTCAAAATAGTTTTAAAAAATACGTTGCTAATTGTATGCTAATTCCAAAAGTTATAAAACTTTGAAGCTCTTCAGATTTTCATTTTGCACTTCGGTCTAAGACAACGGGCTAAAAAACGCGCCCCAAATAACGTTTAGGCCAGAAGAAATTTAATAATTTGAAAGTTGACGTGGATTTGACCTAATTATTATTAATCGACGAGTTGCAACGCTTGATTTTTTTGCCCAACGTTCAAAAGTTTGATCGTCAGCCAAATAACTCAGCAAAGATTTGTTTTCTAAAATCTCACGCTTACTGGGGCGCGATATCTGACCCGTTGCCTTGGACCCAAGTGAGTTTGAAGTTTTAGCTTCAATGGAAAACTTCAAAAGTTTCTTTAATTTCTTCACAAAACACAGACACATTCACATTCACACGATTAAAAAAAAACGGGACAAGTATTAGCTCATCCTTTGGCACCCTCAGATATCTTTTTGTCGCCCGTCTTGACAAAAGCAACGTGTGTGTGGATGTGTGTAGAAGTTTCGCAATGTCTCCGCCTTTTCTTCTCACTTTTAACTCACACAATCCTTTCGTCCTTCTCGTTCTTATTTTACGACACGTTTATTTTTTTTATTTGAAGAAAAGAAGAATTTCAGTCAGCCCTTCTAACACACAAAACCCCCAACTATTTGATAATCGTCGGCCAATGTTCTATGTTCCCGAATGAGTCAGTATACCAGCAAAGTGCGGAGATACATAAAAAGTGGGTGACTTCAACGATTCCAATAAAATTTTCTAGTTTGCAATGGGTTATCCGCACGTTTTATGTTTGTTTTTTGATTTTTTTTTGTGGAGGAAATTCGTCATATAAATAACATTCGAGAGCAGCAAAGAGCGATTTAGTGGACCATATACACAAACAAGCTTGGTATTAGGAAATTTTTGATATTTCGCTTTCCATCTGCAAAATGAGATCAGGTTTTGATCTTGTGCTGTGTTACCTGATCACATTACCAAGTTGCAGGGAACTTTCGAAAATTACATAATATCATATGCATGCAAAATTTGATATGCAAATCTCCGAAGTTCACTCCTGTAGCGACGACTACACACACACACAAGGTGGTAGTCTTCATTCATGGGAACAAAAAACGAAAAACCAAGAACATCACCTAGTCGGCTCCTCCCTCTTTCCCACCCCATTTCACTCGTTTATCTTGTCACGCTTATCATTCGGCGTACTATGATACTTTAGTACGTGCTGTACACTAGGATAGAGACCTCCCAATAGCTTACCTTGTTCTGTCTTATCAAAAATATGTGCCAGTGTATTAATTGTATTTTTGATTGTTTTCAGTTTCTCCCTGTTTTCACCTGTCTCTGAAAATATTAAGACTCCAAAAATTGTATTTATTATAAATTTTCTTTGTTTTGGCACCTTCAGCAACAACAAAACGTTCGCGCGCATATTTCTTGTCTCCAAAGACATTCTCAATTCTAGAAAACCAAAACAGATGGTGTAGTGTCTTAAAGAACCGAACACTAATTGTTTTTGGAAAGGAGGATCCGTCTTTTTCTTATTCACTTGCTTTCACATCTCATTTGATATTCCACGAAGGAACCCATTTTTTAATTTGAAATTGTTCTATTTTTGGATTCCATTTCAAAGAATAAAATTTCTCATTTTAAATGAGGAATGAGAATGTTGCAAATTGTAACAGATCTGTTTTTGACATCTCAAGAAAAATGTGACAAGAAAACATGCCACCTTGTAAAAACCTTGTAAAAACCCGAGCAGAAAAAGAAACACTTTCATCTTACTTTCTTCTCTTCCTATCCTTCTTTTTTTCTTTCTTGTCCGTTACGTGCGGACGGACATCTGGCGATCGACGGTTGACCTCGGCTCTCGGCCCAGCTCATAGCCCGTTGGGTTCCAAAAAGAAGAGCGGGGTGACACGTAGAGAGCGCACGAAATGAAGAGTTTTCTGTGGTGTGCTAGAGAGAGGCAGCAGCAGCAGTAGCAGAAGGAGAACCTCTTCTCCCTCTCCACCACTCCGGCCACCCCGTCCCGACGTATCGCACGCTGCCCTCTTCCTCCCTTTCTTTTTTCTGAGTCTTCTTCTTATTCTTCTTTATTCCCATTCACTCTTACTACATCACTCACTAATATACTCCTCATTTTCCCGCCGCTCAATTATGCATTCATACATTAATCCCACCATCATAATGCTAATCAAGTTCGCTATCACGTTCCGGTTTCTTTCCGTTTATGTTCCCCTCCTTCATTCCATCCCATTTTTTTTCCAGATATGCTGAAAGGCGGTCTCATCGAGAGTGAGAACGATAAAGTCGGTGTTCGAGTCGCGGACATTGACGAATCCGGGCGAGTCGACAATGTGCATCTCATCGAAATTCGTCGCATCATTTCTCTCGTCGGTTAGTTCTTTTTTTTGCACTTCTTAAATCCCATGAAATTCGTTGCGCGCTCAAACCAACCCTTGATCTGAAATCCTGCAAACAACATAAAAATAATCCTCAGTGAGAAAGGAAACGAATTTCTAGCAAAACATGTTTGCCTCGTGTTTGCCTGTTTTCAAATTCGCGGGTGTGCGGTGGAGCGCGTTTCCCCCAGCGAGGAGGAAAGAAGGGCCTGTATGCTGGGTAAAGAAAGTGTCATTGTATTAGGAAAATTTATTATGCAACATTCTAAAAAAAATTTAAAATGCAGGAGCTGCCTATTTCTTCTTCATGACTGTTTGGGTGGTCCCGGTTGCTTGTGTTATCACTGTGTCTATGATGTTCCCGCTGATGCTCTTCAGGTTTACCAATTAGCCGATTAGGACGACTACTAATCTCTCCTTCTCTTTCAGAATACCTCTCTTCAACTACCTCGAGCACAAATTGTGCGGAATGGTGAATGCCCATTGGAACGCTGTCGCTGTTTTTTGCGGAACAACTGGTCAGTAGAAAAGGTAGATTTATCGAGCAATTTTTCCTTTTTAGTGACCGAATACGGAACTGATTTGGCCAACTATGCCGAGGAGAAGTGCTTGTTGTTGGCTAACCATCTCGGCCTGCTCGACCACTTTGTCTTGATGCAGAGTCTCAATGAAAAAGGATCGATTAGATCTCGGGTAAGATTAGAGGATTTTCGAGGGCATTCCATACAAACAGCAGCTGCTACACAAAGACTGCATAATTATGTTCAATTCGACATAAATTCAAATTTACAGTGGATGTGGGTGATCTACAACATCTGGAAGTACACTCCACTTGGAGTCATGTGGACCTCTCATGGCAACTTCTTCGTCAATGGTGGAGCCAGCAAACGCGACAACGTCCTCAAATCCTTCCGTAACCACCTTGAAAAGAGCTTCTATAAATACGATTTTGGATGGGTCATCATGTATCCAGAAGGTTCGGTTTTTTTTTCAGTTCGCAACAATCTTGAAAAGCAAATAGTCGTCAGCTGATGTTATGACGTCTTATCAGTTTTTTTGTTTTTGGTGTTAGATCGACTAGGGCAGTTTTTATATTTCAAAAATGTGTGACTAGAATATCGTATAAAAACAGAAAATTGTGGGCTAGAAAAAGAAACTAAGAGGAACTAAGCTGATAGGGAGCATTGAATCTATTAAAAAATTTTATTCCAGGATCCCGTCTTTTCCTCGTCCAGAAAAGTGCTGCTACATTCGCTCAGAAAAACAGCCTGAAACCATTGGAACACTGTGTCTACCCAAGAACCGGAGCTGCTCATGCTGTTCTTGACGTTCTCGGCCCAGCTGATGGTAATTCAGTTCACTTTGGCGCGTTTCTCAAATTATGGAATTTTTTCAGAAACCTTCAAACTGTCGAAATGTGGAAAGGGAGAGCCAATCAAGTACATCATCGACGCAACCATCGGATACCACCGCGGAGAAGTCCCAGACATTTGCGACGCCATGATGGGAGAGTGGGCATCCGTGAACGCTTCAGAGTTTGCCGTTCACTACGACGTCATCCCAGTCAAGCCGGAATGGTCCGATGAGAACAAGCTGAAGGAGTTCTTGTACGAGAGATATGCCATTAAGGTAAGAATTGGGAATGGGGGAGAGACCGGTTGTAGCTTTGTAGCTCGGTAGAGTGTAGTCAAAAGTTGGAATGTGTTGGCAAAGTTCCAAAGTGTAATTTTGAAAATATCTCAAGCGTTGAATTTCGTGTAAGAAGAACACTAGAAAAATACCAGCTGATTTGCTACAGCCGTCATGTAGATTGTTATTGGCAAGTCAACTGTTTGGCTCATCTTTGGCAACAGTGCAAAATGCATTTATGAAAATATGTCAACTTGCTCAAAAAATATTAAAATTACGACAGTCTAATGGACACCGTGCACCTGCTAAAGGGAAAGGGTGTTTGAAAATTCAATTGAAATAAAAACTCAACTATTCTCAAAGGTTGCAAAGACATATTTTTGCTGAAAAACGTGATCAGAATGCTGAGTTCATAGCCAAGCAACAAGAATTATTATTGTTAGTTTTAGGCTTGTGAAAGCGCAAGAGCGAACTATCGTATTTTTTCAGCCGTTTTCAAATATTACGACTAGTACAGAAATTTGAAAATTTTTGGGATGGTAGATATTTCTGAATTGCCAAATCTGACGTACTAAATTAAATTTTCAGGACCGCCTTCTTGCCGATTTCTACAAAACTGGACGTTTCCCGGGAGAGCAGACCAAGGTGCAGCCAAACAACTACGAGATGTTCTTTGCTCAAATCTTCTGGGGATCCCTCTACTACGCCCACTACTACTACTGGCTCCGTCCCCTCATCGTCTACGCCTGGATGTCGTTCATCGCCATGTTCTAAACACTTCATTCTCTCATAATAATCTATTTTTTCCGATCCACTCGTCTATTACAGGTTGAACCCCTCTCATACATTCTTCCAATGGATTGATGCAGTCAATCCATTTTTCCACAACCGTTTGTTTTTCTCGGAACCCTTACACCCTTTCTCATCTTGTCATTCTTTTTTTATTTATTATGATTTCACTGTTCTGAGATGTTTCCATGTCCGTTTTTGGTCACTTTCATGTTCTTTTTTTTTCTCCGGAGCCAAACCACGTCAAAGAACCCAAACGTTCACACTGATCTGAAGTCATTCTTTGCAGTACGTATCTGCCAAAAATCAAAGTGTTTGAAGATAACCTGAACTTGTGTATAATAACAGTTATAATGCAATTTTTCGAAGAATATTTCCATTACTGGTCAATACAAAGATGTATTTTTCAATTGGTTTTTGACATTTTCAGAAGTCCATAGATTGAATGCCAAGTTTCCGATCGCATTTAAAATTTTGGAGCATGTAAAACAGATCTAGAATAACAACTTTGAAAACATAAAATTCTTTGAAAATTCCTAGTCTTTCAGTTGTCTGCCGATTTATGAGTGATACTCCTTTTTGGCCCGTTTTTCACTGAAAACAAGAAAAACAGGAGTCTTCCAGAAACCGGCTAATTGCCAAGAAACTAGGAATTTCCTAAAAAATTTGTAACTGCAAACGCTTTAATCTAGATCTGTTTTACACTTTCCATAATTTTAAAAGTCATCGGAAACTTGACAGCCGAGCTTCAGACTCCTGAAAATAGTCGAAATGTTCAAAAATCAACTGAAAATTACATTGTTGTTTATAGACCACTACTGAATTCGAACGTTGCGTTTCTGCTACAAAATTTCAAATTTCTGGTTGCAAAATTTAATTTTATTATGGGTCATTTCGTGTTCTCAAAAAAGAACTTTCGGGAAAACTAACCGTAATGAACCCCGCAAAACTGGTTTTCATTTGAAAAAGTGTTCACCTTTTTCATCTCTTCACTTTCTATTTGCAGAGGACATTAGGTAAGTCAGTATTAACTACTTTTGTATCGAAGAGGAAGAAAAGGACTGACTATGAGAAGTAAGGCAAACAATCTGAAAAAAAAGAGAAAGAGAAAAAGGACATTGAGAAGGATACGCCCAAAAAATTCGAGGAGGCAAATTGTTTGATGGAGAATAAAAGAACACGGATTCCTACAATTGGTCAGCCGTGGCGGTTAGCCCCAAACAGTCAAACAGCCGGGGCCGCCTTTTTCTTTTCCTCAAAAAACCTGTTTTCATAAGAAATAAGGGAGTCGTAGGGCAACGAGACAGTTGGGGATCTCTTCTTGTAAGGACGTCGTTATTTGATTTTTTATTCGGTCCTCGTTTACCTCCTCTTTTGCTACCATTTCAATCCCGCCCACTTCTTTTCTACCTGCTGCGTCGTACAAAGTAATCTATACTTCTCTACTTCACTTTCTAAAAGTTTCCACCGTTTGGAAAGGAGAGATGACGCTGCCGGTGTCTATGGATGATAAGGAATTGTTTCCGAAAGTGGATATTTTGAATTTGGCATTTTCTCCGAAGTCCGAGATCAATGAAGAGGTCTTCAAGCAGGTGAGTAAGCTTAATCAAAGCATGGTCAATAAGAAATTTCAGATGTTTTCTTCATTGGATCGTTTGTGGTGGTCCCGTCTAGTAATTTCTGTCCGTGGATATGTGATCAACTATGTACAACAGAACGATGAAGTTCTTTTCAGCTGCGATGACGCTTTTATCAAAATTCATCAGAAGCTAGCCGAGAGAAGTAGCAAGTTCGAAAGCGCCTATGAGGTAATTTCTAAGAAATGGCTGATTTCACAAATTTTCTTTGTTTAGTACCTCACTGCCATCTTCCATATCATCCGTGAGAAGAACACTCTTATTCAATTAATTTCCAATCCAAAAACCATCTCAACTACCAAAATTCCACCAAATCTTGACCGCTCCTTTGGCATTGTCCACGGAGATTTATCACCAAAGGCTATTCAGCTGACCATCGGTATGACCTTTCATCTCGGTTTCTTTTGTTGATTATATCACTTATCATCAACTTGATCACGTTTCTGTCTTTTGCAACATTTATTTCAGCCCAACTGGCGGCCTATACCATGTTTGTCAAAGTTGTTGTAAACTTACAACAAAGATGGGAAAACGAAAAATTGAAGAAAAAATCGATTCGTTTCGAAACCGATCCAGAGTGGGAGCCAGATGACAGAGTTGTGCTCTTCCAGACGTTTGCTTCTGGTTTTAAGAGAAAATAATTATATGGAAAATGGAAAAAAGTTTCAGATAACCGAACATGGGTTCTTCTGGACTTTGATCGTTATATCTTACAACAATGGAAACCAAATGGAACTTCTGTAATATTTGGAGACAGATTTGTGGAAAAGGTATCGAAAAAAATCAGATTTCTGACAAAAAATTACTTCAGAAAAAACGATCGGGATTGAAATTGTGCACATCTTGTGGAATGCTCGAGCAAAAAGTAAGTTGGCTCTAGATGGAAGTAGATTTCCGGATATTAAATATGATACCGACGCATTGTTAGTATACATGTCTTGGGCAGATAATAAGACAATGAAAAATATTCAGATCGCAATTTTTATAAAAATTACTGTTTAGGATGCATGCCTATGATATCGTGTTTTCTCTATTAGGAGCTTACTATGTGAATTTTGAGCTTGATTATCTCGGTTTTGATGAGAGCTATCAAAAACCTTGCAACAAAAAAGTTGTTCATCATGAAATTTTCAATATTTCATCAGTTGACACATTTTTGTTATCTCTCATTGGAACCGCAATATTCAAGCTCGAACTTCCCCTAAAGGATAAGCCTCTATTAGTAAAATAGGTTTGAAAATTTATAAAATTTTAACACCTCCAATGAAACAACTGTACACGGCTCTAATCTATCACAAAATATTTCTGTTTTGAAGCTTCTGCCTCGGATTACTCCGGAATAATTCTTCATTTTTCAAATTTCCTTCGAATCATTTAAAAAATCCTATTTCAAACATCACTTTTTCTGCTTGAACGCACTTCTAAGCAAATCATTTCAGAAAGCTCAATTTGCTGTTTTGAATGACCAGGTCTACTGTTCGAAAACATGTTTTGATGAAGTGAATCCTCCAATGACTGTGAACAATCGAGGTGCCACCGTTGTCCATTTATAATGCGATTTGTACAATTAGCCGCCTTGTTTCCCGTATGCATGCAAATCTTTTCCATTCCTGCCCCATCATTATTCACCCCCCCCCCCCCCACTCCCCCGACAGAGGAAGAACCCAATCAGAATTAACCATGATCGTTTTTATTGAACATTTTCAGTATTCAAGTTTTGTAATTCCTGCTGCAAAATTATGTGTGATATCTTGTACAGAAGCCAAATAAATGTTGAAAACAGAAAAAAACACTACACGTTAATTACAAATTCTGCGAAGCAAATAGAAGTCAAGCAGTTTCAGAGAAGAAACAAAATTAGAGGAGAACAATAGAAAGGAGTAACAATTTTGGGAGAGATTCTTTTGTTGATTAGGTTTTTTCTGGGTTAATTAGTAACTATAAAAGTGTCTGGTTTGTGATTTGAATTCTCCACGGGGCGAAATTGCGCCAGCAATGTAGGATCCGTGTTCGGTGGGTGGAATCTGAAAATCATTTTTCTGTAATTTTTAATGCTTTCCGGTTTTTCAAACCTGCATGCTCAACTGCGACGTTGGGGGAAGGTACGGTTGCTGCAGTTCATTGTTGTATCTGGCCGCAAAGTGATTGTTCGATAGTTTTAACGAGTATTGGCTTTCCGCAACTTCTTCCGGGAACAAGAATGTGTACGTGGAGACGAGAGCGGCGAATAGAATAGTAACGACCGAGATAATGAATGCAAGTCCGGCGAGGTAGTAAGAGTAGCCGTATTCTTTCTGGAAGGTCTTGAATATGACACGAATTTCTTAAATATCTTTTACCTCATAAGTGTTCTTGATTCCGATCAGATACTTAGACTCGAGCATTTCAGCATTCACCATGAAAACAATAAGAGAGACTCCAAGCAACAAACCTGAAAAATAGTCACATTTAAATAGCTAAAGTGTGAAAATCTTACTGGCGAATCCGCAGAAAGCATCCAACATTATAATAGCAATCCTGGATCGAGCTGGTTTGACATAGGCAAAAATTATGGAGGCGATACTCAAACTCATGAAGATCATGGAGATTACATTGAGGATGAGTACAGCGTAATGCCACCCAAAGAAATATGGGGTTCTGAGAAGCTTTTTTCGGCAATCTCCAATCAGGAAAAAACGGCAAACATCGACCTGAAGTGATTTTTTAGTTGTTCGGATGGGCACGTTTATGCAGCTTGCTCGGGAATCTTTTCTTTAATAATTAGGAATCCATAGAAAATGTGTTCAGTTTAAGAAAGTTTAGAAATTCTGTTTCTTCTGATAAAAGTCTACGCAGACCGTTAACTTTGAGCTCAATTATTTCGATTTTTAAAAAATTTATCAAAGGTTTGTCAAATAATAGGTTATTCACCATAAAATCCCCTCTTTCACAAAAATCGAAACAATTCAGCTCAAAGTAGACTTGTCAGGAAGGCTTCTTTTAGAGAGAATACGGTAGATTGAAAAAGGGAGCAGGAAATGATGGAAAAATTTTCTTTTAAATTTTTTATCAGTTGAAAAATTTTCATATCTATTTCAGGGAACAAGGCAATTAAATTAAAGTTGCCAGTACAAAGATGGTATTCATTTGACGAATATATGTCTGTAATTTTCGTTTTGTTTCTCGCTGTTTTTTGATCAGGTGTCGTCTGACAAACGTTTGTCTATTTCCATGAAAATTTTGATTTTTTGAACCACGTTTTTTGAAACATTTTCTATCCAAATCAAAACTGACTTTCTCATAGTAGTTGATCAAACTGTCACTGAAGATGTACCAGCACTGTGCTTGTCCTGGACAATATAGCCACAATCCTGATTGCACATACCTATCGGCGTCCAAATCGTCAGCAACCTGAATTCTCGCACAATAAACCATTTTTGCACAACATTTATAAAATTACCTGCCACGCTGGTGTGATTGTTGCAAAGAAAAGTAAGAAGTTGGAGACAACTGACGAGATCAACGTCGCCAGTTGGTATTTTTGAAGTTTCGTTTGAAACGTGAGCATTCTGTGACGCGAAAATAAAATAAAATAGTACAATGAATCACAATTACAACAAATACGTGCATGGATGCAAACCATTAAGAAAAAAGAAAGTTATGAAAACGACTCAAATGGAATATTTATTTGTGTTTCGTTTAAAAGCGTATATGAGAATCAGATCTGGAAAATAGGAATGAAAGTTTTTGTGCGCGTCAAATGAAAACGTCCATAATATGCATTAAAAGTGAAGAAGTGTGGAAATTCATACCCGTTGATGGTGAAATAATTAAAGAAGAAACAAGAATTTACCGAGTGGTACTCATGACAATAACCAAGGTACAGTTTTCGTATTTATTAGAACATAGTAGTTTTCTTTTCCTGTCGTGGAACTGGTGGAAGAGTTCTCATAGCAAACCGATCCTCAAATGATTCCATAGATCGGTTGGGGTGGTATTGGTACTCGAAAAAGTCGCTTTGCTGAAAAAATTAGTGGTCTGGTTAGTAGTTTTTCGTGCAAATTAACTTACCAATGAAGAATTTATGTTCTGTCTTGACATGGTAGCACTGCTATCTCTAGCTTGCATTAGGACGTTGATAACTGATAAAATAATAGCCACCAGATAGACAAATGCACCAGTCAGGGCAATATACCAAGAGTAGCCACGATGCTTCTGGAAAAAAAAGATTTTTTCTCTGCGAAATTGACAAAATTTAGAATTTTATTGTACCTCATAGATTCCACTAACTGAAACATGGAAGAATCGATACTCAACCATGTATGAGTAAACCGCAAATGCAATAAGACATCCGAATGCGATGACGGCTGTAAAAAGTGATCTTAGAAAACAATGTTGCTTGCTTTTTAATAGAAAGTTTTTTAAGACGGTAAAACAACTTGAAAAAATGTACTTCAAATGGGATGAGGTCAAGTGATTTTCGGTACCCTATTTCATACACCAAACCTCAAAAAAACATGAAGAATACTTACCGGCTAGCACAAGAAAAACAGTTCTTAGAATATTTGGTAATTTGCTTTCTTTCCGAGATACTGAAACACAGAAACTGATCAGTGAAAGCATTGCAAATGCTTGGGATATCAGGTAAATGTGGAAGAGAGTTCTTTGCCACGCTGAAATTTTAAATTAAAATTAAATTTCATAGCAACACTTTTTTGTGGACACTTACGATAAAAAGATGGTGTTCGAAAACCAGAAACTTCATCACTAAAGTACGTATTGAAATCGTCATGAGAGAATGTGTACGTACAACTGTACATGCCATTGGGTCTAGAAAAAATTGAACACTTTTATGACCAACAAGTTCAGAGACAAAATACCTCGTTTGACATGATAACCATAATCCGCTTTGTACCCATTGCCGGATTTCGCGTGCGTAGACTACCTAAATCATGTTAAATTATATTTGGGGTTCCCAAAGAACGGAGGAGTACCTGCCAAGATGGTGTGCATAGAGCAGCTGCTGTGAGTAAAAAGGCAATTATTGTGAGGACCAGTATTGTATAGCTTAGTATTAGATGGGTTTTCATCTGAAAAATTGCTTTCAGAGAAGATTGACAAGTTTAAACTTTAATCAGAAAATGATTAAAAAAAACAACACGTTGAGTCACAATTATACACAGTACCGGTCAACAAAAAATACAAAAAGGTATTCTGACTCGATTTTTGTCTATTGTGATTATTTTCAGATGTCTAGAACACGAGTATCAAGTTTCCGATCACTTTAAAAATGATGAAAAGTGTAAAACGGACCTAGACCTGGAACTTCATATTCACAGAATTTCTTGAAAATTCCTAGTTTTCCAGCTATTTGCAGATTTCTGAAAGACACCCTTTTTGAACCGTTTTTTGTGCTGAAAACGTTAAAGAATCCTGAAAATAGTCAATACAACCGAAAATCAAAAAAAAAACGTTATTGTATATCTTATTGACCGGTATTGTATATACATACAGTTTCTATTATACCAACATACCACGGAAAACGGAGGAAGACGGAAAAATAAAGATCTGATTAGTGAATTGAGACGTGAAAGTGTCAGATAACAATACCACCTTTAGGAGAAGAGAAAAGAAACCTTCGGAAAAAAAACGATAACTAGTTTTCTTATTGATTCTTGGTAAAAGGGGAAGCAAAAAGAAAAAACAAGAAAGGACAAAGAATATCAACACAGAAATGACCCTATTTTCGTGAACAGATTTAAAAGCAATAGAAGATTTATAAAAAAATAAAATCGGTCAAATCATAATCCAATTGAAAGGATAAACCAAGAAGAATAGATCAGTCGTCAGGGTGAGAAAGCAAAGGGATCAAAGAAAAGAATTAGACAAGAAATCGAGGCTAGGGAGTGAGAAAAATTCAAGCGATTGCGCTGTTGGATGGCGAAAGTCTCTGATCGGGGGGCACGAGGGTCATTCATAGCCAGCGACAAACGGAAAGAAAAGGAGAAGAGGACCTCTCTTCGCCTACCTGCGCGCGTTTCTACGTTTCGCCCGGCCGCTTCTTTTTCCCATCCGCTGTCTGTTCCATTCTGCGTCACTCGATTTTGAATACTATTCTCATTTTTCCTTTTATGACCTTTGTTGTTGTATATGGCGTTTTGGATACCAACGGAGGTTTTCAATTTTAGTCTCTTTCTCTCTTTTCGAAATTAATGCCGTTGGAAGATTTGCTATGGATTTATGGTTTTGGAATTACTAGCAGAAACAATTTTGCCAAAATTTCGTCCAAATTTAGATCAGGAAGGGGAAGTCTCAATAATCAAAAAACAAGTTTAAAAAATGAGGTAGACAAAAAACAAGGTAAACAGACGTACACATAGTTATTATTTGCATGTGATGCGAAATTCATGTAGGATCTAATTAACCATGAAGACTTTCACGCGTTTTGAAATCTGTGATGAAAAATATGGAACATCGAGATTACATAAGAGACAAGGTGTGAGAGAATTGGAAATTCCATTCTTCGGATGCTGGGGCTGGTCAAGGTTACATTGAAAATGAATCGAAAGTGAATTAAAGGACTTGAGAAAGGTGGAGAATGACGGCATAGTAAACAACAAGAAAATGTTGATTATGTCACATGTAAAACAATTGAGAATGCAGGCGACTTCTGGAAAAAATGGTTTTTCTAAAAGTGAGAATTTGTCTGTGAATTCAGAATCAGAAAATCACCGAAAAAATGATATCATATATCCTTGTAAAACGAACTGCAAACAATTGCAAACAATCTGAAAATTGACGATATAATGATATCACCGTTAGCGCAGCAAAAAAAAATAACTGCATACTATGTGAAACCTTAATAAACTGACGAGAAGTGATATCACTGTTTTACAAAAAAGCTGAAATTACGCCGAAAATAGGAATCTGGAAACAATTGGAAGATTTGGATGATATGGGAATACGTCATATGAATTGATTCAATGAAACACAAATCTGAAGACTGTAAAAATTCAGCGACTGATGTGAAAAGTCTCAAGATGTATCTGAATTTTTTGAACTTTTTTAATTACACATATTTTTCATAGAAAATATCCGACATAATGAAATTTATTCGAAAAAAAATCTACTGTATTTTTTCTGTTAGAAACCGACCTAAACCGTCAACTTTGAGCTAAATTATCTCGATTCCTGGGAAAATTATCAAAAATTTGTCAACTGATAAATTATTCATCATAAAATCACGAATGTTTTACCAGTTGACAAAATTTTGATATCTTTTACAACAATCGAGATAATTCAGCTCAAAGTTGACAATTCGAGTAGACTTCTATTAGAGAATACGGAAACTTTGAAAAAAAATTGGAAACGCACAAACGACACATATTGCAATAAATCAAGAAGTGAAGTGTATAACAAATGAGTCTGTAAAAATTAAATTTTTCTCCTAATTCTGCAAGCCCGATGTCAAAGCATTCCGAAAGTCATGCCAAAAACTGAAAATGGGAAGTTTCCGAACTGAGAAACTGCGAAACTATTTTTATTAAAAACATACTGAAGTTTATTTTTCTCTTCTCATTGCCTTGTGTCTACCTTGTTTTCTCTGATAGACGCCCATCGAACCGTCAACTTTGAGCTCAAATATCTCAATTCCTGTTACAGATATCAAAAATTCGTCAACTGATAAAACAATGATGAAATAATAATAAATAATTCATTGCTTTTTCAATTTTAGATATCTTTTATAGAAGTCGAGATAATTGAGCTCAAAGTAGATGGTGTGGGGATTTAATTACTAATCTTGTAGATTTTATTGAGATTCATCCGATATTTCCAGAAAGCTTTCCGGTTAAGTTTCTTTTTTTCTAGTCCGCCATAATATTTAGTCCCCTGCTCAGTTTCTTTAGAATCTAGAATTCATTATATCTAATTTTGAAACAGTTATGATCTAGAAGTTTGAACCAGAAAGGATTTTTCAAAATAATCAAAACAAAAACCTTATGTAATAAGTCACTGAAGCTTGGCGGTCTTTTTTGCTTCCACGTCAATCGGAATCAGCAGCTACATATTTTTCATATTTTCCATATGAGTGAACGGTTGCTCTGTGCGGTAGTTCAATACTCATTTTTGTTGGTTCTGTTCTTTTCTCAATCGATGATATGATCAGATCAGTAATAACGGGTTGGGATGGAAAAATATAACATCCATCTGTTATTTTTGTTTATCCCATTTAGTCATCGAAATTAGTGATAGATATTTTTTCCAAGCTCGATAATTTCGAAACTTCAGTTTAAGGAACCCTCAGAAACTAGTTCTCAGCCGCGAAAAGAATAATTTCCGAGAAAAAAGAGAGGCACCATAAAAAATCTTGAGCTAAGAATTTCTGGCATTTTGCTGGTCCCCGCGTCACCAAGAGTTACTCTTTATTTCAACAAGCACTTGCAATATGAAGATGTCGTTCCTCTTCTGTCTTCTCAGCTTTTGACGCACTCAGGAAACGGTAACCAGTGTAAACATGAGAAAGGAAGAAGACCGTTGGTCATCGTTTTAACGTTAACCTTTCGACGATTCAAAAATCTCTCATTTCCTTTATTTTTTCTTTCTCTGTTTGCTTTCCGAATACAATCTTTTATTGTTCTTATGAGTTGAAACGTTGTTTTTTACAGTATCCACTTGACTTGTTTTTGACAGGCGACTACCAAACAAAAACTCTCAGAAGAGCTGATTGATTTTTTCATGATTTTGATTGCTTTTCTAGCCTCTTTGGAAAAAAGTCGATATCTCATATTGTTTCCTTTTTTATGACTGACTAATTTTTTGTTTTATTTGGTCCTTTTTGATGCAACAGTAGACATTTTCTCTGTATCAAGACTTATAGACAAAGCGCAGACCTTCTTCGCTCGTCTTTTTCCCGTTCAGTCCGATAAAAGGAACCACATTTTAATTAAGAACTGATGATGAGCTGTCAATTTGAAGGAATTTGTATTGTTCGCATTATTTGACTTCCTTCGGTTCCCATAATAATTTATAATTCAAGACGAGCGCGATGAGCGGTCTAAGACTGAAGAGTCGTCGGAATATTCTAGAGACGGGCGTGTGCCGATGAAGTGTGAATCGAATTCTCTGTTTCCAAAATATTTGAGACGTATTCAGAGGCGTCGATGTGCGTGAATGAAGCGATGAAATAATAAGAAGATGAGAAGAAATATTTGGGGAAGAGCTGACTCGTCGCTTCTCCACCAAAAATGATTATGAATTCACTGGGCTCTCAGAAACTTCTCAGGAAGAGGCGATGCTTCTTTTTTCAAAACTTCTCGCACAGGCAAGAAGCTGATGTGGCGGCGCACATGTCGTGTTTATCGGATCACTGAATTTCAAATTCATTTTTGCCTCACACAGGTGCCATTCACATTTCCTATCGCCAGACGGCTGACACATACATACATATCCTTAAAATTGATAATAATAATATATGCCACTCGCCTTGCTTTGGGTTACGGTAGACCCATGTGATTATTGCTTTCCTATTCTCAGCGATTTCCCAAATTTGTTCTCAAAAAAAAAAGAGGAGATGACAAAAAAAGTTGAATGGTACAAAAAAGAGGGTGACTCCTTTTGTAAACTCTTCTCATTTTTTGATAATATCAAAATGAAAAACGGAATTCTCAACCTCAACGAGAACAGGTAAAATAGGAGGAGGACGCACCTCCATCCATCGTTTCTCCCTCCCCCCAAAAATTATTATATTTTTTGTGCATTCAACTTCTTCTCATTTCTCACAAAAAGATTTGACGGTGTCGGCAGTGTCGGCGCCGGTTCCTTGATGGATTTTTACACGCAATGTTATGTTTTGTTTCGGCATTCTTGTATCAGGAAACAGACACACGTGCCACGAGTCCTTGAAAATCGAAGCTGTATTTTTGTCGGTGTCTGTGGAGAATTATTGCGCAGTTTTTGCAAGTACAAGTATGCCGCTTTTGATCAGAGTTGGTCGGATAAGAAAGCTGAGAATTAGTATTGGTTATCGAGGAATTACGCAAATGTTAGGCGTTAAGGACCGTAGTTTTTTGTCCGTATCGAATATGAAAAATTTCAAAAAAATTGTAATTTTGCTGGAATAGCTTTAATTGCACTTTTAAGACTTAACTAGTCGATATCTAACTTTTGTTTGAAAGTTCACTGACAATTACTGAAAAATTCAGTGGTTTTTTGTGTATACAGTACTTTCTTGTTGATTTTCGGTCATTTTGACCATTTTCAGGAGTCTAGTCTTAAGTTTTCAGCTTTTTGCCAATTTCTGAGAGACACCTCTTTTTGGCCCGTTTGTGTACTGAAAACGTGGAAAAGCAGGTGTCTTCCAGAAACCGGGAAATAGTTTAAAAACTAGGAATAGTTCAAAAATTCTGTGAATGCAAAGTTTTCAATCTAGGTCTGTTTTACACTGTCCCAATTTTACAAAGTAATTGGTAATTCGACAGCCGGCTCCCAACATTGGCAGAAAACTAACTGTAAATATATTATTTTGTATAACCGGTACTGTACTCTACAGAGACGCACAGTTTTTTAAATCTTGATTATTTCCTATCTACAAAACAGAATTTTTTTCACTTTTTTCTAATTGTTTCTGCACCTTCTTGAGATCATCTCCTCACATCATTTAACATGTCTTCAAAATATTCAAATATCATCCTCTCTTCCATGTACTAGCCGTTCAAAGCAGTCAACCTTTTCTTAATAGCATAATTGACGGTTCCGGAGGCGACAAGATCATAATCTATTGCCCAACACTTGTAGTGCTCGACAAACTGTCTACTGATGGTACGATATGTCATCAGGTGATACTAACTAATTGTTACTATGTTGGGAAATTGTGTAGCATATAAGGAGGGAGGAGGGCAACAGCCGGGATTAAAGTGATCTGTTCTCTATTGCGTGATGTGGGCAAAACAAGTGGACTAACGGAAGAAGAGGGGGAAGGAAGATACCTTCCAATAGATCGGCTCCATCTGTTGCGATAATATAATATTTTTAGGTAGCCATGTGTGTGTGTGTGTTGAAACCTCTCTCATAACCACTTGGAAGACACTCACTCTAATATGAATTATCTCAATCAATCTCATGAAGCTTCTCCAAAAACCTAGCCATACTGTTTTGGTATATCCATATCCTTCACTTACCGTATCCTTGTTTACATTATTCATTACATAATCTGTAAGGTACCATCTGCACCACAGGGGGTGCCAACTTTCGGCACCAGCTCTTTCCCTTTCATTTGTTCCGCTTTGGGTATTATTTCGAAACGATGATACCACACCTGCCTGCCCAACAAATAGGAAGTCGGATGTCTTCTCAAGTCGGCTCACTTACATTGGCTCATCTTTCATTTGAAAATCAGGTAACACTATTCAATGAGGATTATTGAAAACCCATTTTTCTGCTTTCTTTCAGCCTAGCTAAACTAAAAAGTTTAGCCTAGCCGAACATATATTCCTAAATTAAAATTTTCGGCATCTCTTGCAATAGGAAATTTTTAGTTTCATGTATAATGTATTTAACTTTGACTTCATCATCTCCTCCTCATGCTGCTATATTTCTAATCTATTCATGATCTTCCCAGAAATGTACACGCACTTTCGAGTGCACCTCATTCTGTCTTCTTCTCAAAGGTGTATCCGTAAATTTGGAAATCCAGTTGAAAAATGACGATTACTTGAGTAAAAATCCCGCCCCTCTTTTGAAATGTTATGAGAGCAGTTCTCACCCATCCTTCAGGCAATCGTCATTCGCCGAACCGCAAACTCCGCCCACTGAGGAGAGAGTCTTGGTGTGCGCGCGCTTCGGCGACTACGGTGGCTTTTCAGTTTCGCTTCTTTTCTTTTTTCTTTGTCTTTTCTCTTCTCTTCTCGAATTTTTTGTATTTTCAATTTTTTTTATAAGTTTATGTGTTTCTAGCGGATCCACAAACCATGTCGATTGAAACAAGCCAATCTTGTTTTCTGATTGATTCACTGCTCATGAAAAAACCAAAAGAAGAGTTGGAAACTGAGGAAGAAGATGAAGAAGAAGAGGAGGAAGAAGAAGATATATCATCTTCTGAAGTTACCAGGTTAGTGAAACTGAAAAACAATTTCTAGATATGAACTTACCATAAGTGCTCACAAACCTACTTCACGTAAATTATTTTGCACGTTGCGATTATTTTTCAAAACTTGTGTCTTTCCCTATTTCTCTCTGTCTTTTTTTATTTCTAGCTGAAAAACAATTTGAGAGAGCATTTTATTTTGGATGGTACTACAATTCTACCTTTTTTCGTTCAACAATTTTTGTGCGCGCATGATTTGAATACAATTGAGCGGCTCCAAAGTGTCAAGATACTCAAAAAACAGCAACATTTGTCAGTGAATGTTTTTAGCGATTTCGTGGCATCAAACTAGCGTCACATTGAAATATTTTTGATGTGTGTGTAGTAGAATCGTGTATGAGTATTTCGTGTTTACTGATCAGGGATCAGCAAAAAGCAATTACATTTTTGGTTACCTAATCCGCGCGGAGTCCTCCAGAATCTTACTTCAGAGGTACGCGAAATCTTAATAAGATACATTCCGTGTTCTCCTCTTGTAATTGCACGGTTGCCAAAATAGCTCAAAGCGGCCAAAGTGTCCAAAACAATCATTTAGTTATGTATGAACATTTTTGAGGAGCTCTTTTTTTTTTGAAAATTGGTGAAAATGGGAAATGAGAGTTGTGTAATAACATCACACCTGTTCCTATTGTTCTCGACACTTGTTTTTCTTGACATGCCTTTTTAGTGGTACAATACTGTTATTCTTCTAAGTTTTTTGGATGCCTCAAGAAAAGGAACATAGTCAAACTCTTGATGAATTATTCCCGAGACGTGTGAGGCTTTTATATGACACCTTACTCTTCTTTTCTTTCTTAAGAACATGAACCACTTGACTTTTACCATGTTTTGCTTATTTTTTCCAAACGTTTTGATTTCAGTGAGAACGATATGGAAACTGAACCAGCTACAAGCGCTGTACCAATGATTTTCCCCCCAAAACCGGATTTAGCAGCTCTTCACAAAATTTTCAGCACTATTGACTTTAGCAAACTGGCAGCAATCAAAAAGAATGGGCATCCTCCGATGATGATGGTGAGTAGTTTGGCAATCCCAAAACTTCCTGATTTTTTGATACTACGAATATACTTTGTCACCTATTATCATCTTCCTGTTGCAGCGCCCAGATTGCTTCCTGCCGTTTGAGCTACAAAAACAACTACATCTCGTGCAGCAAACTCTTCAGTTGAATGCCCTTCAAAATCTGGGGCACGCCTTGCCCCTTCCATTTGTATCTCCATTGCTCAAAAGTGAGGAGAAAATACGCAACATTTTAAAATGTAATTTCTCATCATTTCAGATGTTGCACCACTCCCAAAGAGGGTTCATAACAAACGAAACTCATATGTGGATCAATCATTGAAAGGAAATTTGAAAAAGTATCGATGCGATGTGTGCGACAAGACGTTCAGCCGAAGTAACACTCTGATCACTCACAAAGTAGGTACACGTCTCTAATTGCCACCTTTGGTGGAAATAGAGGGTGGAGAGAAGGTGGTAACACACATTTAGCATCATATCACATCACTTTTATTCCAAATTTGACAGTGGGCCTATCTTTGATAGTTGTTTTTGAACTCTTTGTGAACAAATGATGTTAAAATTATGTCTGTCACATCACTTTTTTCTATTTCTACTGACTTTTAATGTGACGAATTTTTCAAAATAATCTTTAAAGAGAAATTGTTTGTTTTTGTAAACCTGATGATGAAAATTTTCTTTCAGCGAATCCACACCGGGGAGAAACCATTCAAATGCGAGCACTGTGGAAGGGCTTTCCGTCAACCCGGAAACTTGACACGTCATCGACTGACACATACTACGGTTGGTTCTCATGTTGAAGGAAATGCATTCTTAACGCAAATGATTTCAGGTGAAACCGTACGTTTGCGGACTCTGTGACAAAGCATTCAATCGCGCTTCCAACCTTCACACCCACATGAGAACCCATTCTAATCTCTAAAAATTCATACCGTTCAACCGTTCAATCGACATCGCCACTAATTCAAAGCCGTCTTCCCCTTACCCGTTTATTTTCAAAACCATTTTTTTGATTCATAAAATAAAAAAAATCTACAGTGTGATGCGATCTCGTTTAAACTTCTTTAAACTCTTCTCTCTTTTCTTTCTCACTCATTTCATGTTCCATTCCACCGTTTTCATTTTATAAAAATTCTTTATTTGGTTTAAGAGTCTAGAAATTATCAATTTCCTTCACAGATACCATATTTTTCTCCAGATGGCTGACTCTAGGATAGTCATATCTTTGATGATGTCCCTCAAATGAGAGCATAGTGATCATTGGGCGGAAATATCCACCGAAAGCAAAAATTTGAGTGATAAAGAAAGCAATGAGAAGAGATGCGAAAGTGATCCAAACTTGCCAGTGATTCTGCAATATTTGAACTACAATTTGCGAAGACTTATAGAAACTTACATTATAAGTTATAGTGATTTTTGTACTTGGGATGCAGCTGTCTGAAAATTAACTTGTCATCACTAACCCCATGAATAATTAAACATACTTGAAACCTTGTTGAACCTGAGAGCTACATCAGTAATAAGTGTGAAGAACACAATCCAACTGATCAAGATCAAGATAATGATGGATGTTTGTTTGCGCATCGCTCGAGTGAATCTGCAAAATATAATTGGTCACTCATTGGGAGAATCTCCCAGAAACATCCTCATTGGGTTGCAACTTACACGGCCAGAGAGGAGACAAGGACCATAGCAGCGGTTAGTGGAATAAGACACAAGTGCAGGATGAGAGCGATTCTGTGACGGATGTCCATGTTCTGGAAAGTTTTTTTTTAAACTTTGATCATTACTGAGAAACAACAATAAATCGTTCCCTTTATCTATCCTAGAACCCTTCTATTTTTTCCTTAAACTCAATTATCTTCATTTATGTGGAAGATAAATAAAATTGATCAACAGATAAGATATTGGTAATAATATAGAAAACGTTTTATCAGTTGACAGGATTTCAAAATCTCTCATAGGAACACAGATAATGCAGCTCAAAGTGAGAATATAGGATGACGTTCTAATAAAGCATTTACTATATGCCACAGACGAATTCAGGGATTTGGAAAGGCTTTTTTTGGAATTTTCGGAATGTCAAAAGTTCCGAGTTTCTAATTTTTAGAATTACAAAATTTCAAAATAATTTGCAATTCAGAAAACTTCAGAATTCCGGAGTCTTTAGAACTGTTCAAAATTCGAATTTTTTGCTAGAATCCTTTCTTACTCACCAAAAACGCAAAAAATGACAAACAGATTATTGAAAACGGAAAAATACATTTCAACTCACATTCCAAAGATTTGGACATCCCAAAATATTCCAAGGTGTACACGCAGATAGGCTGATTCCATTGTTGGTATAAATCCCCGAATCGTCAGTTGTCCATGCTTAAGATTCTCAATTTTCTTTCTATTCAAATGAAAAAGGAACCGCACCAAATGAATACGCGTCAAATATTATCAGAACCAGCAGAACTATTGTTAATAATATAGTAAGAGGTTGTAGCAAAATTCCGAGTGCCTTCATGGTAGTTGGAGAATTGTGCAAAAACGGGAACAAGAAAGAGTTTGGTACAAATAAAACTATCAGTTGGTTTTGTGACAAAAGACTCTACTGGCGGTGGTACCGGTGGGAGGTGCTTGAACAATGAATGTGCACTTTTTTATTAAGAAATGAGTCATCTGAATTGTGTATGGTTTTGGTACTGCTTCTATGCATATGAATGTTTCTATCTGTCGTTGGTGTTCTATATGAGTTTTCTGTGATGTACAAACAGTGAACGTTTCCAGCAAGTGACGAGAACTTTGTATTGCTAATGTTATGACAAATCAGAGAAAGACAAGTGAACTGAGAACGTGAAAAAAAATTCGAAACAAGAAGTTGAGAATAAAGAGCATTAGATTGCAACAGACCAGATTCAAACACTCAGTTTCGGCAAAAAAATAAATAGAATGTTGTGTTTCAGAAAATCAGGTTCCTGTTCCTTAATTATTAAAATCATGCGGTTTATGAATTTTCCGAAAAAATCTTCTTGAGGTAAGTGGTACAGGGTGCGCCTTAACTACAACACAAATTTGTGGGCTTGATATGATGCACACTTTTTATGATTTTATCAGTTCTCTATTCAATGGTTATTACTCTGCCCAATTTCACGACATAACTTCATGGCTGAAGATTATGGTCTCATTTTCCATAGCTTGTTTCGGTCATTACCGGTTCATTTCAAGGTGGCAGCAAGGTTGATGTTACAAAACCAGTCAGTGTGTACCGTGTGTTGGTCGGTTGTTCTGACAACTAATTTTCCCTTATTCACACTGACATGGACTATCTAATAATCGATTGTGAGGTATCTGTTGCATCAGATACGATCGTTCTAATCGTGGGAAACATGATTTGCTGAAATTCAGAAGAGTGTCAAAGAAAGCTCACTCATGACTTCAAATTGGCTCGAAGCTCAATGAAACTGTTTGACAAGAACATCTTACGTTGCTTTGAAAAATACCAAATTCGGGCATTTGTGAGGCGGAGACCAAGAAGTTGTGACTCAAAAAGCCTGAAACTTCACACGATGACTCAATTTTCCGGTAATAATTTTTATAATCCATAAAAACCAGTGATTGCAGACCTCCACTCTGTCAATTCAAAATTTTTTTATTATCTTTGGCAGGGACCGGGAAAAATTAACTCGAAGTGTGAAGTTGGGAGGTCCTTCTATCACAGGTTTAACGTTTTTTTTTTCAATTAAAAATTAAATGTTTCAAATTATTAAACATTCCAAATTATGAAATTTTACAATTATCAGTAAATCAATATATGAAACAAGCAAAATCTCCTTCTTCGACTTAATTTAAAAATTAAAATTGTTTTCGAATTGTTTTTAAAACAAAAAATGAAAAAATGAGCGTAAATTTCGAAGGTAGATTGAAAGATCAAATTTTCGATATATACTGCTCCACATAAATATACGTTCACCCATGAAAAATGGCGAAAAACCCAAATTTGCAGTTTCTAAAAAATATCGACCGGAGGTTAAAAAGAGTACGATATGAAAGACTTTCGGGACCCAGAGCAAATTTCAAATGAGAATGAGCAATATTTATATTTTCATTTTTTCAATTTTTTGACTTTTGCGGTTCCACATAAATATACGTTCACCCCCATTTTTTCCACGTTTCAGCACCACACTCTTAAATTTTAAACTTTTTGTATTCCCTTCGACTGTTCAAACGATGTGACGTAAAAAACCACTAACTGATTTCGAAAAAGGTCAAATTACAGCCATAAACGCATGCCCAAAACTAAATGCCCAAAACTGTTTAGACTGTCAGATTGCTCAGAATTCAGGAAGATCCTCAGACGTGGTCAATCGATTTGTCAAGAATTCGTTAAATTACGGCACAAAGAACTTTTCCGGACGTCATCCTCTCCTTACAGTCCGAGAAAAACGTCAAATCCTATTAAAAGCGCTCAATGTTGTGGCCAGTTGTTCCAAAATCAAGAGTCGTTTGAAGCTTACTGTATCGAATGAGACAGTTTGACGTGTCATCCAGAAAAGCAAGTTCACCAATTATGAAAAGATGAAAGAAGCATTTATGCTGACATCAATTCATCCCCAAAAACGTCTGGAGTTTGCTCGCATTTACCTCCTCTGACATTGCGTCTCGAAAATCAATGTTTACCTTTTATACGGATTACGACAACTTTCCTAAATGTTCAGCACAGTTTCAGATTATCTTTTGTGACAAGAAAAATATCAACTGTGATGGTCCAGACGACTACAACTCTTATTGTCATGATTTTGAGAAAAGATAAACATTGATTTTCGAGACGCAATGTCAGAGGAGTTAATTGCGAGCAAACTCCAGTCGTTTTTGGGGATGGATTGATGTCAGCATAAGTGCTTCTTACATCTTTTGATAATTGATGTACTTGCTTTTTTGGATGACAAACTGTCTCATTCGATAGCTTCAAACGACTCTTGATTTTGGAACAACTGGTCACAACATTCAGCGCTTTTCATAGGATTTGACGTTTTTCTCGGACTGTAAGGAGAGAATGACGTCCGGAAAAGTTCTTTGTGCCGTAATTTAACGAATTCTTGACAAATCGATTGACCACGTCCAAGGATCTTCCTAAATTCTGAGCAATCTGACAGTCTGAAAAGTTTTGGACATTTTTGGCTGTAATTTGACCTTTTTTGGAAATCAGTTAGTGATTTTTTAAGTCGCATCGTTTGAACAGTCAAAGGAATACAAAAAGTTTAAAATTTAAGAGTATGATGCTGAAACATGGAAAAAATGGGGGTGAACGTATATTTATGTGGAACCGCAAAAGTCAAAAAATTGAAAAAATGAAAATAAAAATATTGCTCATTCTCATTTGGAGCTTGCTCTGGGTCCCAAAAGTCTTTCATGTCGTACTCTTTTAACCTTCGGTCAATATTTTTTAGAAACTGCAAATTTGGGTTTTTCGCCATTTTTCATGGGTGAACGTATATTTATGTGGAGCAGTATATAGACCTACGATATTATCGGCTGAAAGTTTTTTAAATTTTACTTGCTTTTAGTGGAAAACGATCAAATTTGGAAGTCTTAAAAATATTGTGCACGATGCCGGGTAAGGCAAAAACATTTCAGAGCGTACTAAACGAAAATATCTTTGAATTTGTAGTTGACAACTCTTTTGTAACAATTAACCGGAATGATATATACGGCTTTCAGGTAAGCAAGTACCTATTTTTTCACATCCAGAGCTTCTGGTGCTTCTAGCGCTTTTGAATATTCTGGAGGCTCTGGAACTTCCGGAGCTTTTCGAGCTTTGAGCTTTATGAACTTTTCAATCTTTCAAAGCTTCTCGAAAGATTTTCTGGCCGAATTTGAACTCCAAAAAAAACTGAAAAAGAAAAAATAACCAATTGTAGTATTTATTTCAAATATTCTAATCTACAAATTATAAACTGTAACACAAACTAGTACATAATAAATTATCATCAGTAAATTAATATAAAACGAGCAATAAACTTCAATCAGATCACAATTATTTTTTAATTTTTGTCGGTGTCTCAATATCGTGCTCATCAGACATCCGTCTTTTTATAGGCGTCTTTTCTGAAAATTTGTTGCTCATTGTCAGATTTTGAAACAATTAATAAAATACCATTTTGAGCTCTCATGTGATCGCGAATTTTCTTATTTTCTAGAATTCTTTTCAGTTTTTCGGAATCTTGATCATATTTCACAACGTAATATCCTTTTTCTTTCATGTAATTTTCAAGGCACTTGTTCTTACGCATTTGTTCATTGAGGTGCTCTGGAAAAAAGTTTAGGGTACTTAAGCTGTTTTAGAGAAAATGACCAACTTTGGATGGCATAAACTACTGTAGAATTAGTAGGATAATGCTGAACATTGCAAAGTGTACTTAACGAAAATAAAGCTTCAATTTTGTAGTTGACAACTTTTTCCCAAAGTTCATCTAAACGAGATATAACGCTTCATACCAGTCAAATGCTTCCAGAACTAAATTCAGAGTCTTGAAACTTTTAAGCGGTATATCCGAATTGGATAAATTTCTAAAAAAAGTTGTCAATTACGAAATTGAAGATCTTTTCTGTTTAGGTAGACTTAAACATTTTCAGACAAGTCGCTGATAGAAACTCGATCTATAGTGCACTTCGAGCTAAACTATCTCAGTCCCTATCGGAAATATCAAAAATTTGTCAACTGATGAAATGTTCATCAAAATATCAGCAATCTTTTCTTTGTTGACACATTTTTGATATCTCCAATAAAAACCGAAATAATTGAGCTCAAATTCTGCGTATAGGGTGGGCTTCTATCAGAGAAAACACAGAATTTTTTAATTTTGATCACAGAAATCATACCTTTGAGACTGTGAATGTTGTGCTCCAAGCTTAGAATTCTCGAATCTCGTTGCTCAATTGCCTGCTTCAATGACATTTCATATGCTTTTGCTTGGTTCATCATCGTCTCCTTTTTTCTCATTAATCTCTCAAATTGAAATTACGAGTTTCCAAAAAGTGATTTCGCTCGTATCCCATAGCTCGAATTTTTAGAATTTCCTTCTGGTGTGAGTCCACAATCAAACGATATTCGTCGAGTTGGTTCATGAGCTTCTTGACTTCCAGTTCTTTTTCACCTGGAATAAAAAGTTTGAAATACTGTGAAACCTGTTAACTTTGAGCCGATATACATATCTCGATTACTGTCAAGGATATGAAAAAGTGTTCAACTGAAAAATTGTTTATCATAATATCACAAACATTTTATCAATCGACACATTTTTGATATCTTGCATAGAAATGAGATAATAGAGCTATCTTACGAAATCTTACCGGAATATCTCAATTCTTCATAGCATTCGTTTCTGGAGCCATCGAGATTTTGAGAGCAGTTATGAACGGTGTCTTCGAGTTGGCGGATTTTGAAATTTAAATCTGAAAAAAAGGAACTTTCAAATTTCTGAGACTCAAAAATAACTACAAAACTTCACATTGTGCACATGAACCCACCATCCCTGGAGTCTTATGAGGAATTGGCTTGATTTCTGGCTGCGCTGAGCTTGGTGAGTAGCTCATTTCTGGAAATTTTCATAAAAAGATAACAGATGAAAAAAAAAACGGAAGGCAAAAAAATCGATTTCATGTTTTTTCGAGAACAAAATAAGTTTTGCTTCCCAAAAAATATATCAAAATTTTGAGCTCAAATTAGAGATCACATTTTTTTCACCAACTATTTTTGATCTACATCCCTTTCCCGTAATTCCAACTGCTGTTTTGGAGCGGAAAACTCGGTGTTTGGAGAAAAAAAAAGTGGAATAATATTAGAGACGTTTGTCGTTACAAAAGTTTGCCGTTCCTAACGTTTACCGTAAAATTGCGCAGCAGTGTTTTTGCGCGCGCAACGTGCGCGTAGCGGCTCGATATGATTTTGAGCGCGCAGGAAAAACTAAAAGAGATATCAAAAAACTATGAACGGCATTTGATTCACAACCAAAAATAATTTCTAGAGACAAAGTTTTATGAATTCAGCGCTTCTCCGTTCCATGCACCATCTAAAAACCGATATGTAAGCCGGCAATATTTTTAAGACATTCTAGATTTTTTGATATTCCAGTGGTAGTTTTCATGAGAAAACTTTTCGAAAGTGCCAAACATCAATCTAAAAAAATATTTTTAGTTGGTTTAGTCAAATAACACCGAGTTCTGGTAGTTTTCAGATCAAAAATTGGCTGTCGTTTTATCAGTATATTGGTGGGGTCTAATAGTGTCTACACCACAATGGACATTATTCTCCACTTCTCGGGTAGTGAGATATGCTTAACGTTTTTCGCCCTAATCATTTTCATTTTTGGACTACCATTATATTTATATTTCCAACTCACCGGAATACTGCTGAAATCCATTACCGATTAGTGGAGGTAAACAACGAAGATGTGCTTTTTTAAAAACCGTCACCGCTTTGCTTTATCTATTCGAAAGATAAGAATTCTGGTTAGACGAAAATTCCCCGTCAAAAAAGCAAACGTGCTTAGGTTTATTTTGTTGCATTAAACACTGGGATTGAAAGGGACCCATCTCAAACCTAGCTGGATATATCAAGTACATCTGTGGCAAGCCTTTTATCAAAAAGTTATGCATTGGAAACTTTCGGGAACGTATAAAAAGTGGGAGATATTGACCACACCTTTTAGCTCAACACAACTTTGTTTCATGTGTGGCCCCTGTTTCAATCTTCTCATCTTGCGTTTCACACATAAATGGTGTAATCAAACCATTTCCGGTGATGATATATGGATAATGTATAATTACAATAAACGACAAACCCAGACCGATCTCGCTGGACATCGTTAGAAAATTCTGTGTTGTTCACCAAATAGCCCGAGTGATGCACTTTCTGACTATAATTTATTTAGCCGTTTCCATCTCCATCTTGCTTGAAAAACATTCGCCTCAAAAGGGGATTACAAAAATGGGTTGACTTGATTTTCTTTTCGCTGCCACCGGGGGTATAGATAGGAGACACCCATAATTTGATAACAATGGTCAGTACCTCCAATTTATGCGACATCGTTTTGACCTTTTTTACATTTAATGTGTTTGATGATTTCCGAACAACGTAATGGTAACCACCAAAAAAGAATATGTGGAGAATTTGTATACGGGAGGGAGAGGAAAAATTAAAAAAAAAGTTTATTAAAAGTCATTGTCAAGATATAGATGAGTTTGAGAAATTTGGCAGGGGTTATTATTAAAACGAACATAAGAATCGAGAAACGAACAAAACATTTAAATTTAGACTTCGAACGTTTCAACCATCTGCGTATCCCAATTTAGTTTTCAGGGCGCTGACCATGGAGAAGATCGGCTTGATGAAGTTCTATTGAGCAGCACGTGCTTTTTGTCCCTGCTGAGATACTCGCTTGACCTCAACTCCTTCATCATCCGAGCCGACTCCTATTTCTCCAGTAAGGAGATCCTCGCTGATGTCTTCGTTCATGGCGAGACGACACATCAAAATGGTGGCCTTCCTCTCGAAGTAAGAAATAAGCTCTTTAGTCCTTGAACATCTTTCGCACTTGCGATTTGTCTCCAAGTTCCCCAAACTTTCTCGTGGATGCTGCTCTCTCCGGATTCACTGAAGATAAAAGGAAATTAACTAAAAAAATTTTCAAATAGCATGGTTTTCTGAAACAAATAGGATGAATAAAACGTGAAGTGTTGTGTGGTTTGTCTCTGGTTTGTTTTTTGGAGAATTTCACTCACCTTTATTCAAAAAGTTCAAAGAATTGAATACTCTGTACGATTTCTTGTGAATATAGATATAGAGAATACTCAGGAAAATAAATAAGGAATTCTCCAAAATCCATTCACTTACAAAGTGTTTGGAGAGCCCTCAGAAATATTAGACGCCTATTCAGTCAAGTCGTCATAGCATAGAGTGAGTGAAAAGCTGTTTCGAACGCGAAAGGGCCAGTCGGAAGTCCGACTAATTTGTCTTGATTAGAGAGAGTTTCTGGGTCTCTTTTTTCTTAACAATCTCCGAGTTGTGCCACCTGCTATTTCATAATGTGTGTGTGCGTGTGGGTGTGGTGGTCCACCACACAATACGCTAATCTTGTGCACCTTTCCAGTTGCCAATTTGTAATAATACTCTTGGTTGGGAAGGGGCATAAACATCATTACTCGCAGACAGGTAGAGCACATGTATTCTATTATAGCTCCTCGAAACCATCACACATAACCAAGTGTTTAGCCATTCGATGAAATGTGAAATTTTAACAGGAGTGATGATGCGACATTTAATTTCTGACCAAAAGCTGGCCAAGTGGACGTCCATCAGATGTTAGTCGGGGTTTAGAAGTGTTGCGTCGTGCGGCGCGTTCTTTTTTCTTGATGGCAAAACTGAATAGAATATTATCGCTTCGAAGTTCAATAATCTTTGACCCAATTCTTGAACTTGACAGATCAATTTGAAAGTCGATAAAAACACCGTTTATATTCTTTTGACAAGTTTATGGATCGATGAATTAAAATTATATTTCAGAAAGTATGTTCAAACACGTGAAAATATAATGTTTGAACATACTCTCTCAAATATAATATTTTTATTTAGTCGGACTTCCGACTGGCCCTTTCGCGTTCGAAACAGCTTTTCACTCACTCTATGCTATGACGACTTGACTGAATAGGCGTCTAATATTTCTGAGGGCTCTCCAAAAACTTTGTAAGTGAATGGATTTTGGAGAATTCCTTATTTATTTTCCTGAGTATTCTCTATATCTATATTCACAAGAAATCGTACAGAGTATTCAATTCTTTGAACTTTTTGAATAAAGGTGAGTGAAATTCTCCAAAAAACAAACCAGAGACAAACCACACAACACTTCTCGTTTTATTCATCCTATTTGTTTCAGAAAACCATGCTATTTGAAAATTTTTTTAGTTAATTTCCTTTTATATTCAGTGAATCCGGAGAGAGCAGCATCCACGAGAAAGTTTGGGGAACTTGGAGACAAATCGCAAGTGCGAAAGATGTTCAAGGACTAAAGAGCTTATTTCTTACTTCGAGAGGAAGGCCACCATTTTGATGTGTCGTCTCGCCATGAACGAAGACATCAGCGAGGATCTCCTTACTGGAGAAATAGGAGTCGGCTCGGATGATGAAGGAGTTGAGGTCAAGCGAGTATCTCAGCAGGGACAAAAAGCACGTGCTGCTCAATAGAACTTCATCAAGCCGATCTTCTCCATGGTCAGCGCCCTGAAAACTAAATTGGGATACGCAGATGGTTGAAACGTTCGAAGTCTAAATTTAAATGTTTTGTTCGTTTCTCGATTCTTATGTTCGTTTTAATAATAACCCCTGCCAAATTTCTCAAACTCATCTATATCTTGACAATGACTTTTAATAAACTTTTTTTTAAATTTTTCCTCTCCCTCCAAACAGAGAAACTTTGAGCTGAATTTGAGAGGTTCTTATGCGAGTTAGCAAAAATACGTCAACTGAAGAAATGTTAACAACACTCGTGCTAAGATTTTATCAGTTGACAGATTTTTGATAGCCCTTACAGAAACCGCGATAAATAAGATCGCAACGAAACTTTCGGAACAGACGGCCGTCTTCCGTCACACAAAGAAACTTTGAGCTGAATTTGAGAGGTTCTTATGCGAGTTAGCAAAAATACGTCAA